GATTGAAAGTTTTTATATTTACAAAGGATATATACATGTATTATTGAGTAAAGGGTTTGGACAGGACAATTGATAAACCTGGGGGTAGCACAAATGCTCATCTCCACGTAAGTTGGTCTGCCTGAGTATCTGTGAATCCAGGGTGGCCTCTTTAACAATAATGTGAAATTATGACCATTCCTCGACACTTGAAAAAGGATAATATTTCGAAAACGGGTTCGTGTCAATTGCGTAAGTTTTTGTTTTACTTGTTATAATTTTTCACAACATTGTTAGCGTTATTTATCACCTAAATATATATTTTTGCATTTTTCATCATAACTTTCATCTTACTTTATATATCCCCAAACCCAGTTTGACTTATTTGCATAATTTGATCCCCACATTTTCACGCTAGCATATACAGTTTCCTCCTGTTACATCCGCTGTAAATTCCCTTTCTAACCTCAAGTTATTTTTATTATGCTCCCCAACTACAACAACCACTGGCAAGAAGCCAGACATAAAAACACTAATCGTCAACCAAACCAATATCACGTACCCTACAACGGCCCTGTCTTCCATCGACCTCTACCACCTACCAATCGCCGACCACCAACCAACCCACCCAGCTATATCCCACCCCATCGCCGACCTACCCACAACACCTACCAATCAAGAGGTAACCATCGACCTGACCAACAACAGTAACGACTACCAGCCCACCGACGCCAACCAGTCCCCACTGATAAGGAGGAAGAACCCTTTGTGAAGGTGTTCTTCCAAGTTTTTCAGTGCCTCCATCATTTGGCAATCCTTACCCTTCAACAGCAAGGCCAACCAGCGTTTAACTTCAAACGCAAAGTCTCTGAGTTGGATAGTTTTATCCGTCCAGCAATGAAAATATCAGCTGTTGACGCGAATATTAGATCCCTCAATCGGACATTGCTCTCTAAGGTTACGCAGGTCCTGATCGACCATTACCAAACCACACTTCAAGAGAAGCTGACCACCATTCGTACCAAGTCTTTATCATCACCTGCCGTCGACCGCATCGTTTCTCATGCCCTGTACTGGGCCCGTCGCTCCTATGGGAAACGTCTCACTCAAGCTGTAATCACCAAGTTCTACCAAACAATCAACGAAACAAAAACCAGAGTAACCATATCTCTACCAACTGAAATTTGACACTACACCTGCACCATCTAGAGCAACGACGCTGCCGAACCAAACCCCTAAACGAGCCCGACGTTCACCTACTCCTAGTCCAGCAGACATAGGTAAACGCTCTCTTAGAGAGGGCACTCGTCTTCCCCTTCCACACCATCTGAATCTTCACCACGTGATCAAGGATCCGCCAACCTTTCTTCCTTCTGTGCGTTTTTGGACCAGCAAACCACAACTCAGTCTCCATCCAAGTCGAGACATGTATCCAGACCTTCCCCCCCCCCCCCTCCCCTCGAACCGGATCCCATTCCGTTCCCAATGCTACAATTCTAACAACTACCAAACCAGTACCAATCACACCGTCGACGACCATTATATCCGCTACCAAACCGTATTATCACCAAACCAAGGACAAATCATTATGGAAGCTACCCGCTCTAAAGAAATATACCTTAATTATTGGATCATCTAACCTAAATCGAATTACCAAAACCAGTTCAGACACTGAAATACATTCTTACCCCGGTGCCCAAATCCATCACATACAGTCAATCCTGGAATCATACGACCATGATCCCAAACCTACTACCATTATTCTTCATGTAGGCCTCAACAACCGTGATCAGCTACCAAAGACTTCCTTTAACCAAGCCCAGAAATTAATCGCCACAGCCAACAAAACCTTCCCAAACTCCAAGATCCTCTTCACATGTATACCCATTTCAAATAAAATCTCGAAGAAAGCACAACAGAACCTCAGCACTCTCAACAATATGATGATGGAGTCCAGTATCAACAGCGCAACAATCTTACCACCCTACGAAGAAGAATTCGAACCAGTTGATAATCTTCATTGGTCTCCAGAAACAGCATTTATTTGTTTTGGATACACCAGCTTCAAGCATCGAGTAAGTCTTTAAACTAATTACTGGGGATAAAAATACTGAGAGGCCACCGCTAGGCCAAACTGTAGTTAACTTGAGCCGCAAAACTCTCACACCCCTTCAGCATTCAATCTTAGACCGTGGACTTAAATTTATTCCCACACCAAAGATAGCTAACTTGAATCTCCGACCATCCATTGAACGATTTCAACGAAATCTTAGCTGCACATATTTTTTCTAAACCACCCCCATGTGGT